AAGGTACAGAATAAGTAACAAATGACACAAGGTACAATCCACAAAGATAAGCTTGATAAAGCTGTATACACCAAACATGCACACCAAATTCACAAATCCAGAGCAAATGTAAGTCGAGTTTGACTCAAAAAAAAAAGATTCAATAAGTAAGGATGCAGAGGGCACCCTCAAGATCAAAGAAATATCTGACGTCTGTGTTCCACAGAGAATACATGTCATGAAAGCTTTTCAGGCTGATCATGTAGCTGGCCACAAAGAAAATCTTAAAACAGTCCCACAAGAGATTCTGCCAAGCACCTTCACTCAATAGAACCGTGCATGTATGCTCAGTTGCGTCCAACTCTGCAACCCAGGGACTCCGGCCCGCCAGGCTACTCTGTCCATGGAATTTTCCAGGGAAGAATACTAGAGCAGGCTGCCACTTCATACAGGGAATCTTCCCAATCCTGGGAATAAACACGCATCTCTCCCATCTCCTGCATTGGCAGCTGAGCCACTGAGGAAGCCAAGAGAACTAGCAGCCAACATTAAAATATGATCAGACTGCCCCAAAACTTCCTCAGAAATTAAAGATGCTGCCTTCTAAAAAGTCTTTGGATCAGAAATAATCTACAAAGTACAAGGAAGCAATGGAAAGATGAGCATTTCATATAAAGGCCCACTGGCTAGACTTGTACTCAGAAGGAAATTTTGACGTCTACATAATTTTTAAATTAAAAAACTAAAAATAAATGAACCAATTTAGACGTGAAAACTAGAGCAATGAAATAAGCAAAAAGTAAGAAGAAATGAGTAACAATAAAGGTTGAAATTACTGACCAAAAAAGTAGAAAGAATTTTCAAAAAAATATTTACAAATAACTTCCAAATTATATAACATATTTTATGAAATATACACTTCCAGCATATCCAATTAGAATCCCATTCTTAGTATCTAACAAAGACATTCTATATCACAAGGCCTATAATCTGTCCTTGATCTGGAAGACTTAATATTATAGAAGTGTTAGCTGTTCCTCACAAAGATTCCTACTGGTGGCTCAGTGGTAAAGAATTCGCCTGCAGTGCAGGAGACCCAGGTTCAATCTCTGGGTCAGGAAGATCCCCTGGAGGTGGGCATGGCAATCCACTCCAGTATTCTTGTCTGAAGAATTCTATAGACAGAGGAGCCTAGCAGGCTACAGTCCACAGGGTTGCAAAGAGTGGGACACAACCAAAGCGACTGAGCATGCACAGACTATTTACTCCAACACTGTTTCAAACTATAAAAATAGTCAATAGCCTCCATACCCAGCAATAAAGGAAAGGTTGAATAAATTATTTTACATCTGTACTACAAAACAGCCAGGGACAACATAGGGTGGGTGGGGGTGGCCTCTGCTTTTGTGCTCACAGTACAAGGCTAGGCAAACAGTGGGTACTCACTAACTATGAGTTCAACAGCAATATGCTTGTCACTAGCTTCCTAAAATAGCCATGACCTTTTAGGTGAACACAGCAAGCTCAGTCCGCTATCACCAGCCCCCTCACAGACACACCCTTTTCCCCAAGGATGCCATCCCCAGGCTTACCCTCCACCTCCCTGTCATCAGCTCTGAGTTTCTCCTCGTCCCTCACTCACCATCCTGCAAGCCAGTCTCTCCCCATGCTACAGGTGTAAGAGGCTCCGGGCACCTGACTTCCCTTCTCAATTTCAGGAGTCATTCCTCCCCCTTTTTCCTGCTAAGGCAGTGGTACCTTCAGGACCATAAGCCCTTGGAAGACTAGAACTCAGAGATCACAGAACCAGGATTCAGCTACCTACCACCCACACACTCCAACCCCAGCTTCAAGATTCCTTGCAGCAACCCAAGATATCAACACTGCCATCGCCACCCCCTAACTGATATCAAGCCCCTTTTGCAAACATCTTCTCACCAGATTCTGCAAACAACCATTTTACTACCCAGAACACTGGGACCCTGTTGTGGCTATGTGGCTTGTCCCAGGATACCCAGCACAGATGGGAACTCTGCCTCCTCACCCCTCCATTGACCCCACCTGTTACTTTCTCACATCAGGAGCAAAGTCAGCTGCGGTTTGAGTCACTATTCACGCCACACTGTCAGGATCCTCCCAGACCACCACATGACATCTGACCTTTATTTCACCAGGTCCCGGGATCAGGGTCAGTAGGCCTCCTGTGGTATGGTTTCAGTGTTATTAGAAAGCTCCGCTGAAATTTCAACAACTGCTTTTAAAAATGCAAATTCCCAACAAAGACATTTCAGTTTCTCCATTTCTCCTAAGAGTGTTCCTATCTAGGTATCCCTCAGATTCCTTATGTTTTACAGGCAATGGGCTCACAAGGTGCTGTTGAGAAAAATCCAGAGAAACCTGAAACCGTTCACTTGGCTGCGATTGTGAAATACACCTACACACAGAATCTTCCTCCAGTGCCCGCCATGGGACAAGTGCTAGGAACTGCTTAAGTGGGAAAAGACAGCAGATGAAAAGAGAGAGGAAAGAACAGGAAAGAGTGAGATCCAGAAAGGCCCTAGGTTCTCTGAAGATTCAGCACTCAGCACAGATTTGGTTTCTACAGGCACCTCCTGCCCACACCAGCTTTTTTTTTTTTTTTTTGCAGTGAATGCCCAGGAAAATCCCAGTCACCTATTCAGGCTCAATTCTCACTCCTACCATCCCAAGCTACCCATCCTCCCCAAATCACGTGGCCAAGGCATCACTAATCAATCTTGGCCTTCTAGGTGCCGCAATCCGGGACAAGCCCTGACAACAATCCTTGACCTGATAACGTAAAGGAGTCCAAGGGGACTTCCTCTTGACCTTTCTGCCAGTTCCTATGCCCATCTCTCAGTCTGAACTCACGTCCATCTCACTCTCCCCACTTTTTCTTTTTTTTTAACCTATCCAAATTCAGTTTCCGAGGTCAAATATCCCTGGCCTGCCTCTTCACTTAGCTAACATCTGCTGAGTACCAACATCAGGCAAGGTCCTTTCTGGATGCTGTGAGACCAAGAGATGACAGAGGACCCTCCAGACAGAGGACGGGGCAGAAGGATGTTGGCTGTACAATTACTTCTGCAGGGCGAATACTGAGAAGTGATGTTAAAGGAGTGGAGGAGGGCTGTGTGGGCTGACCACGTGTCTTGCCCCTTCCTGCTCCAGGTACCTGGATGGCTCCTAGAAGGGCGATGAATAACAGGCAGAACTGGGGGAAGGAGGGCAAAAGATTATCAGCGAAGACAGAGGAACAGGTCAGAAGGAGAGCAATTCAACTAGGCTGACCTTCAGCTGCATGAAGGGAGTAATAAATATTATTCACTCTTACCGATGAATACTAATGTGTCAGGCCCTGCTTTAAGCTTTACGTCTATCTGGGACAAAGAAGCATGGTCACCACCTATTCAGATCAGTGACTGAGCTGTATGGTTGTTTAGTATATTAATTTATTTACTCCTCACAATAACCCTGTAAGGTTAAGTATTATGATTGTTGCTGTTGTCTTCAGTCACTAAGTCATGTTCGGCTCTTTGCGACCCCATGGACTGTAGCCCACTAGGCTCCTCTGTCCATGGGATTTCCAAGGCAATAATACTGGAGTAGGTAGCCATTTCCTTCTCCAGGGGATCTTCCCGACCCAGGGATAGAACCTGCGTCTTCTGCACTGGCAGGCAGACTCTTTACAGCTGAGTCACCAGGGAAGCTCCAGGTATTATTATTACCCCCATGTTAAAGCGAAGGAAACAAACGCAGAGAGACTAGTAAGAGGCGAGATTTGGAAGGGATGCCCAAGGTAGTGTGCATCCCATGCCGGGGCAACAAACAGCCCTGGAACCTCACCTAGTTTCTCCTGTCAGGGAAAACCTTGCGGCAAGGAGAGTGCCTTGTGCGAAGGGGCCCTGCTAATTCTCCTGGCATCCCGAACAACTGACTGAAACAAGGAAGGAACATAAGCAGAGCCAGTTGGGGGATGAGCAAGATAACACGCCCTGCCTGGACTCAGCCTGGCACTGCCCTCTTAGCTTTTGTTCCTGCTGTGGGGGTTGGGCAGAGGCTCACCCCTTGATGGGTCACTCCAAGTCCAGGTCAAGGCAGCCGGGGAGCAAAGTGAAGGCAGGGAGGGAAGGCAGAGGGGTTGGCTACCAAAGATACCCTGGGTCTGTCCTAAAACACCCAATCGCCAAAGAAAGGTCGCTAATTTAGAGGGGAAGGAACAGAAATGTGCTAGGCAAACTGCTCCCAACTTGGGCTGGAACTGTCTAGCTAGGCTTCAGCTCCCCAAAGTCTCAAGGTGATGAACTGCACAACTCTCCGTTAAATCAACAGACGCATTTCTTAAAGGTTTTTCAGGGGGAGAAGTCAAGAATCCCTCCCTGAAACTAGCTCAAGGCTGAGATGAAGGAACAGGCAGAGAAGGTAAACACACAGGTGAACACAGCACCTGGGGTAGATCCCGCATTCTCTCAAATAAAGTGCCTTATAAATCAACTGCAACAGCAGCAGCTCCCAGGAATTTCCGTCTTTCCAGTTCCGGAGGAAAGTTCCTGAAGGCAGCCACCTCTCCTAGGTCCCCTTACAGAAGCCTTTTCCGGAAGGGTATACACACTCTCCAGAAGTCGGCGAGGTCAGAGGGGTCGCGGCCTCCGCCATCCCCACACCAGCCTTCTTGTCGCAGGTTAACTGGCTCCTAGGCCCTGAGCCACGGACCCCAGCGGAGCAGCACAATCACGCGGCCCTGGCCACTGGGGGCTCCGCCCGTGCACCGCCCACCTCACAAGGAGCGCCCCCAGCCGCTGACAGAGCTGGGCAGGCAGGCTGACGAAGCCCGTCCGGGACCAGCTCGACACCCTCGCCTTTACCCCCATGCTGTGTAACCAGGAAGCCTCAGGGCCGGGCTGAAGGTGGCGCGGGGCAGTCCGGGGCCTCCCGGCGCGGGCCGCGGCACCCTGCCTCCACCTGGTCCCGTGCCCCCCTCAAGCCGGAGAACCCTCACTCACCTGGCCAAGGGGCAGTGGGGAGCCGCGAGGGGAGAAGTGGGACGCGGGCGGGCAGCAGCAGCGCTCTCTCCGGGCGTCCCAGGCGCGGCACCTCCCACCGGACTCGAGTTTTGTCCCACTCCCACACTCGGAGCACTCTCCTCTACCAGTCTGGGAAGGAAGCCACAGGCCTTCCGCCACGAGAAGTTACGGCAGGCTCCCGGAGGTCGGCGAAGAACCGGTTCACTGCACCGCCTTCCTTGACCTGTCCTGGCCTGCGCCGCACTCCGGGGGAGGGGATTTCCCCAAGCCCCCTCCAGCTCAGTGTCCCTTCTTTATTGACTCTGTACATTAAAAAGTGACACAACAGGATGGAAGTGGAGGTGGCGGAGAGTAGCTTCATGGTGCAGAAACTGCAGTCAACTATTAATATCTCAGCCGGATGGTCAAGGTTAACGTCAAGAATGATAGATCAACAGTATGTACCGATTGTGGTCTTCTTTTCAAAAATGCATAATCCTAATCTAGTCGTGAGAAAAACACGATTAATCCTTGTTCAGGGATATTTTACAAAACACTTGACCAGTATTCCTCAAAATTCTCAAGGTCATCAAAACCAAGGAAAGTCTGAGACACGTTGGTACAGTCAAGAGAAGCCTGAGAAAATGTGAAAACTAAATGTAATGTTTCCTGGATAGGATCCTGGAAAAAGCACATTAGATAAAGACTAAGGACACCTGAATAAAGTATGGAGGTTAATTGATAATAATGCATCAATACTGGCTCATTCATTGTGGCAAAACACCATGCTAATAAAAGATGTTAATGATAGAAGAAACGAGTTTATGAGAACTCTATCTGAAATTTTTTGTAACAAACTATTCTAGAAAATAAAGTTTATTTGTTGTAAAAAAAGGTCATCTATGTAATATATATTTATTGTACTTATTTTAAAATATAATATATATTAAATATTATTTAAATAACAACCCACTCCAGTATTCTTGCCTGGGAAATCTCTTGGATAGAGGAGCCTGACAGTCTACACTTCCTGGGGTCGCAAAGAGTCGGACAGGGCTGAAGTGACTAAGCATCCATAATATAGTTTAAAAAAACAAATTCACTCTTCATTCTCTCAGCCCACTTTTAGACGTATCTTTCATACAGTAGGTAGATGTACTGTTTACAAAATGGTGTTGCAGTGTTTTTCTGCAACGTGGTTTTTTAGTCACTATATATTGGAGGGTCTTAGCTAGCAAGTGCACTGGGATCAACTTGGTTCTTCCCAACCACTGCACAATAGGAGCGGTTTTGCGCGTCATCATTCTTTGTCACTTAGCTCCTTACAAAGGACTTTTAGATTGTTGCCCATTTGGGGCCGTTAAAAACAAAGCTGCTGGTTCGATTTGCATTTTAATAGCGAAGGAGCTGGACTGGCCGAGGAGGATGCCAGGTCAGTGTGCTGCGCTCGGTCCCTGGTGCAGGCTTGGCCGCAGGAGCCCAGCTAAGAACCCTGGGTATCCAGTCATCTTCCGCAGCCTCTCCAACACCCCCACCTCCCCCAAGGCGCGGCTCTTTTTTGTGACCGTACTGCATTTTTTGGAGATGATTGGGCGGGTGAGGGTGAAACGCAGGCCAAAGGCTCGCGAGCGGCTCGAAGGAAACGCGCCCCGGAGCAGAAAAGGAGCGGAAAGAGTCAGAGGCACAGGAGACTCTTGCAGGGTTGTTATTACTCTGATGCGGGCGCCTGCGGCGTTGTTAGTGCGGGCGCCCACTTGAAGCGCCCAGCCGAACCCGCAGCTTTCCGGGGCGGGGGCGGGGGGCGGCTTATCTGTTACCTGGCGCTCTCTCTGGGCTGGGGGTTTTGTCTGGTAAGTTCACGTGGCATCCGCCCAGCCCGAAAGCCTGAAGACCCAGCACCGCGGTGTTCCCAGCTCCTAAGTAGTTGCAAAAGCGAGTTTCTTTGATTGGCTCATTTTTCTCCTGACTGAGCGAATGCTTTTAAATACGACGTTGATAGATAAGTCAGTCATTTACACTGAAATTCTTTTTTTGTGTAGCAAAAACTTTTCTGCCTTAGAACTGAGCCCCTCGAAGCCAAAATAGTTACCTATGGGTTTTGTGACTTAGTAGGAACACCCTGTGGGGAAAAAGACTAGATTTGGTGTTCAAATACCTGTGTTCTAGTTCCCATTCTGACACTTGGAAGGGGTGCATTCTCCAAGCATTGGTTTTCTCACCTGTAAAATTTTCAAATTAATCTATAAAAATCTGTAAAGTAACCTCTACTTCATTGTTGCTCAGGGCTGTTGCAAACATCAAATGAAGCAAGGGAAAGTAAGTGCCTTGTAAAAATGTCAGGTGCTGTATACCTCTGAGTAGTACCGTATTAAATCTTTTTTACATTGATTCACTCATCTGACCATGGTTGAAACAGCCAAGGTGACCCAGCCAACATGACCAGCCCTGTACTAGGTGCCTCAGGAAGAGGTACAAAAGAAAATCACATTACTCTAAATACAGTTCTTCTTTAATGGGAAAAAAATATTAAGTTGTAAATATCCCACACAATCAGTTCAGTTCAGTCACTCAGTCGTGTCCGACTCTTTGCGACCCCATGAATCACAGCACGCCAGGCCTCCCTGTCCATCACCAACTCCCAGAGTTTACTCAAACTCATGCCCATCAAGTCAGTGATGCCATCCAACCATCTCATCCTCTGTCTTCCCCTTCTCCTCCTGCCCCCAATCCCTCCCAGCATCAGGGTCTTTTCCAAGGAGTCAACTCTTCGCATGAGGTGGCCAAAGTATTGGAGTTTCAGCATCAGTCCCTCCAATGAACACCCAGGACTTATCCCACACAATACAGACTTGCAAAAAGGACCCCGGGGTGAATCAGAGGCAGGTGAGAGGCAGGTGAAAGGCTGGGGTCCAGAAAGTCTTCTGATCTGTCTTGCCAGATTTTGCAGTGAAAGTGAAAGTCACTTAGTAGGTGCCAGACTCTCTGTGACCCCATGGATTATACAGTCCATGGAATTCTCCAGGCCAGAACACTGGAGTGAGTAGCCTTTCCTTTCTCCAGGGAATCTTCCCAACCCAGGGATTGAACCCAGGTCTCTGGCACTGCAGGTGGAGATTAGGGAATCTCCTAGTTTTTAAAATCATGTTAATTCTCTCTCTCTCTCTCTTTTTTTAAGGATCTATTCCTTTTATTTCTGCTTTTATCTTTGTACTTTTGTTCCTTCTACTTTCTTTGTGCTTGCTCTAGTGTTCTTTTTCTGATTTCTAGAGTTGAATGTTATTTATTTTTAGAACCTTTTGTTGTTTTCTCTTGGAAATGCCATACAACTAACTTTTTACAAGATTTAAAGAATAGATCTGAGTATCTGCTTTTAATTGGTGAGCTTAACCAGCTTATATGGATAACGACTACAGAAATATTGAGATTTATATCCACCCCTTTTATGTTGTTATATTTGTGTGTGTGTGTGTGTGTGTGTGTGTGCCTTCAGGACTGATATAACAAATTGAAAAATTTCCATCCTGTTCAGTAAATAGTTGTTGTTGAGACCTTACAGTACCCCACCCTTGACCTTCCCCTGGATCCAGCAACAAAAAGAGGCATTAAAAAAAGAAAAACAGGCATTAAGCCATACAGGTGGCACATGATTTGTTAAATATCACATGGTATATACTTCCTCTTTGTTTCTTTTTTCTTTTTCTACCTTCTTTTGGATTGTTTGAATTTTTTCATTTAAACAGGGGAGTGATACTAGAATTACAAATGTATGAATCAATAACTTCTGTATACCTTTACCAAAATATTCCTCCAAAAACTCACACTTATAATGTCAAAAAATGAACTAACCATCTTTCGCTCTCAATCTGCTTTCCCTCTGGGTTCTAAATCTCAAGTGAGATACCACCTTCTGCCAAGGCATCCAGCCTAGAGCTCTGGTAACTATTTACTTTCCCTCTGCCAGAATCACCACCGTGAAGTTGCAAGCCCCTGGTTTCCGTGGATTCCTCGTGGGAGAGGCTTCACGGGTTTTTACTTCGTAGTGTTTTACGTAGTTATCTGTTCTTGTAGGATTTGCAAAAGTAAGCAAGCTATTGTAGGAACAAACAGTTCAGCCAGCAGGCTCTGCCTCTCCCTCTGCAGCAGCTTGCACGGCTCTAATCTTTCTCAAAATGTCAATTGCCTCCAGGGGGAGAAAACCCGGAGAAGCCAGCTATTTCTCTGCACCCCACCCCCAGAGTCTCAGAAAGACTCAGCCCTTGAAGATCTAAGGTACAGGTAAGACTGCACACAGGGCCGCAGGGCATGGGTGGAAACCCTAGGTCACTTTCTCTGTTTACTTCAGGGAGATATGGGAAAAGGGAGACTTGAACTGTGGGGACTGCAGAATGGTAGATGTAAGGCAATGAACTTGTTTTTGTTCTTGTTTTTGTTTTTTAACTAGAGGCTAATTACTTTACAANTCGGTGTGTATGCCCAGCAGTGAGATTGCTGGGCTGTATGGCAGTTCTATTTCCAGTTTTTTAAGGACTCTCCACACTGTTCTCCATAGTGGCTGTACTAGGTTGCATTCCCACCAACACTGAAAGAGGGTTCCTTTTTCTCCTCACCTTCTCCAGCATTTATTGTTTGTAGACTTTTTGATAGTAGCAATTCTGACCGGCGTGAGATGGTACCTCATTGTGGTTTTGATTTTAATTTCTCTGATAATGAGTGACATTGAGCATCTTTTCATGTGTTTGTTAGCCATCTGTATGTCTTCTTTGGAGAAATGTAAGGCAATGAATTTGAAAGAAGGAGGTAAGTAAGATACTGGGCTAAGCAAGGAATAAGCAAAAATTTGCATGTTGAATAATGGGACCTCAGACCCTGGGAAGTCAGCAATCTGATTTACCATCCACAAGCAGGGAATTGGAGAATTCATTTGTGCAGAAAATGAGCATCTCAGACAAGTGTCCTCCAGTGACTGATATTTACTGTTTCCCTCAGTGCCAGCAATGATGGATGGTTAAACACCCTGCGGCAAACTCCATCAGTCAACAAATCCTACTCCCAGGCAGAGATTCCAGGCAGTGTTTAGTGCTTCGTCCCCAAATGTAGATGTCCAGCCTAGGATCACCAGCTTGTGAGGAAGG